ATCATCTGAATGGAGCTCCACATTATTCTGTTCACTGCCATAAAGAGCATTAGAGCCTCAGAGCGCGGGATCGGCTTACACACACACACACACACACACACACACACACACACACACACACTCACACTTTAAAGGGTCAGTCCACACAAATCACAACAACCACTCACTCATTTCTCCTTTAAACAACCAGCGAGTCTCAGAAAGCGTTTTATTCTGAAAGGTTCTGTTTGTTTGTTGCTAATTCAGGTGAACTGACCCCTTATTCAGGGTTACTTATGGTTATTATTGTTATTATTATTATGATTATGCAGCCTGCACGCACAGTTTATTGTATCTATCAATTATTGTAATCAAAAACCTTTAACTAACCTTAATATTTCAATCAAGGTGCACATTGTTGTTAATTAATCAATATATTGAATAGATTAGAATATAAATGGTTCTGAGTGTATAAAATAGACAAAGTTGTGTTTTCATAATGGATATTATTATTTTATATTTAGAGGAGTTTTAATGGGTTTTATCAATGAATTAAATTAAACGTCATTTAAGTGTTTGAATAAAGTTCTGGCTGGGTTCAATATTCAAATTAAAGAAGCTGAAATGAGTTTGATGAAAGTAAATCAGACGTTAAACTCACAGGGATGGTAAACGTAAAAGCACCAGCAGGTGGCGCTATGATTAAGAGGTTTTGGACGATAACTCCCACATACGACATCGGACTTTCATTATAGAACTGCTCCTGTGTGCTGAGTTCGATCTGCTCGAAGACTCTCTGGACCAAAGTTGGTTAAAAGTATAAAAAATATGGATTAGTGGGATCATCATTTATGCATCACAATTATAATTTTCACTGAAAAACGATTAAAATCTTGATGATGTGACGTGTTTTATTATAAACTTTGTTAACTGTGCAGCTCCACTACAGGTAACCTTTAACTGGGAGCTTACAGGAGCCTTAAAAGAGTTCCACTTAGTAAAGAAGGTGAAATTATGAGTTTTCTTAACTTTAGTTTTTTACAGTGTGAACGACTTCATCATTACTGAATAAATTAACATGTTTTTAATTTAAATTTAAAGGATTTACAGGATAAAACTGTAAAACTAAACCCTGGCTGTGTGTTTTTAAAGTTACCGTCTTATTAAGGTGGAAATCGATGCCGACCTCACAGAGCCCCCAGTAATATCTCTGCCCCCCCCCTCCTCGTGCACTCCCAGCATGCCTTGCTGAGGCAGAACGAGGAGGAGGAGGAGGTGGAAGATGGGGTGTGGGTATTCTGCCGAGGTTATCCCCTGGTTAATGTGACATGTCTGTCTGCGACCTTGCCGCTTGTTAACTGCGCGGATTATTATTGTGATAATGTGGCAATTAAAAAGGAAGCGCTCCATCAGGGCGGGAGGGGGGGCTTATGGTCCGAGAGATGGATGTGTGCAGATTACGAGGCAGTGGGAAATGCATTAAGGTGGCAATCCATTCTGACCCCCCCCGCCTCCCGCCGCCGCCGTCCTCCTCCGGAGCTGCGGGTTATTACCACCCGTCCTCATTGATATCCATTCCCGATCAATACTCCTCTGCTGCCGTAAAACTCAGTGTAAATCAACGCGCGGCGGGCGTGAGATCGGACGTGCGGGGGGGAAAATCAAAAGGTGGTTCCTAATGAGACGCCATAAGTCTGCAGGAAGTGTCGGCCATCTTTATCAGGACGCCGCCGCAGAATGATAATGTCGTCTGCTCAGAAAGAAACAAAGAATTTACCAACAGTGAAGATAAATAACAATATCAGTATTTCAACACATGGAAATATTAATAAAGTTACAAAAACAGCTGTGAAACATCTGTAAAATAAATGTTGTTTATCAGTGTATAAGGTAAACTGTCCAAATACAGTTGTTATCAGTGTAAACAGCAATAATTACTGTAATCACAAAAGTATCACTTCATAACTTTAACATTCACATTAAAATAATAACAATCCAATAATAACAGCACCGCATGCGATTATGATAAGCAGAGTTCACCGGATTATAGATCATTGTTACACGTAAAATCTTAATTAAACATAAAGACAAACTGTATTTTATGTTATTTTACAGTATTTTACTGTTTGTTGAGGTTTCTGTTAGAAATGTTCAGTTTGGTTCTTCAGTGTTTAGAAGCTGCCAGATGCTAACTGGCATATGTTGGGGAAATTAGCATAATTAGCATTGATAATGTTTCAACAGTAACTAAACTTTCTGAAAAATGGGATTTAGAATTTGTATTTTAGTGAAAACAATGAAATCGTATTCAGAGTTTAACAATCTGAAGCTTTTCAAACTGGAATAAAATGTCTGTAGATTTTACAGTGAAAGTTATAAAGTTATTTTCTGATGAAAGGTCCGCTGATGTAAAATGAAACTGAACCCGACTTCATCCACCTGCAGAACTTCCTAATGAATGTGATGCATTGTGGGTAATCAGCTTTGAGACTAACCTGTGTTTTCTTGTTTCTGTCTGCAGATTCTTCCTCAAGTTCTTCCTCAAGTGCAATCAGAACTGTTTGAAAAACGCAGGAAACCCACGAGACATGAGGAGGTTCCAGGTAAGAGACTCACCTGAGAGTCCTTCTGGTGACCCCCGCTGTGACTGACCCCCGCTGTGACTGACCCCCGCTGTGTTTCTCTGTGCAGGTCGTCGTCTCCACTACGGTCAACGTGGACGGTCACGTGCTGGCGGTGTCAGACAACATGTTCGTCCACAACAACTCCAAACATGGCCGTCGCGCCCGACGTCTGGACCCCTCTGAAGGTTAGACGTCGCTCAGAGACTCTCACAGACTAGAAATATAAAACCTACCACAACCTTTTCCACTGGGGCAGGCTGAGGGCCGGTTCGGGGCCGGGGCCTTGTGGCCAGCTGGCTGTGTATTTATTAGCTGTTTAACACATCGATGTTACACACGTAGCATTGAGCTATCTAGCTATCTGTTGATCAATTAACATTATACCAACATTACACATTGCTTTAGTTAGCTGACCGACAGCTAGCGTAACCTTGGTAACAGTAGCTAACACTGGAGTCGTATTCAGTGACGTAAGACGAGATAAGTTAATTTAACTAAAAAACTGTTTAAAGAAATATATAAATTTTTATTTGTGCAGTAAAACAAAATACCGTAAAAGTACTTAATCAGGAATGTTAAGGTACGAGGTGCGGAACTTAAAGTTACGAGTAAAAGCTGCTTCATTAAGAATCTTTTTGAACTTACAAAACTGCGTTTGTGTTTCGATGTCATCAGTTTCAATAAGTTGTTTTAAAATAGTTAAAACAAACATTTCCTGTATTATTTGTGTCCATCACCTGAATCTGAGCCGCAGTGACTTTTAGTCCAAAAACACTGAATCCTACATTTCCCATAATGCACCTGACATATAGTCTTTAACAAACAGAGGAACAATAACAGGAAACGAGATGAATCTAAAATCAGAGCTGCTCCGCTCTCTACTGGAGGGAAGTTGTCATATTTTGGGTGCGTTTGATTTATAATATTTGCTAAAACAAATGAAAAAACTGAATTTGACAAAAACAAAGTGAATCGGAGTGAAACGGGGACGGCAGGTCTGTATGAAACCAGCTGCTGGCAAGTCCCCGTCCTGCCCCGTGTTCCTGTTACTCTCCCGAGGACGGCGAACAAACGCTTCGTTCTTCCACCGCTCCACAGCGACCAAATAAAATGCATCATTCGCGTATAAACTTCACACGATGAAACTCGACTCGGAGAGCTGGAGCTCAGCGGCGACATTTCCTCTGAAGTTGTAAACTTTAATACCTCGTTGCCCTGTCCCCACTCTAATAAAACCCTCCCGCCTCAGCGCGCCGCTTCCAGGAGCGATGACATAAGTCTCTCGCTTTATTCGGCCTATGTGGAGTGCCAGATCGGCGGAGCTTAAACATACCAGTACCGGCTTTTTCAGACAGCATCAGTTAGGATGGAGGTCACAAGGAAGTGGACTTCTATAGATCAAAACCCAGCACTCAGTGTGGAAAGCCCCACCCGTCTGGCACCTACAGGAGAATAAAACAAACTATATTTACTAAAACTATTTAATACCAATCAAGCATAAACAGATCAATGTATCCACACTCTAACTTTCCAAACCACCGTCCTCTTCAGGGTTTTCCACTTAATTTGCTTTAAAGTTTGAGGCTTATTCAGAAGTTTGTTTTGTGCTACTCTGAACACCAGACGGGTGGAGTTTATGATATAAAGGCATTAGAAAGTCTCAGCTGAGATGTCAGCTACTGAAAAGTGAAACTGACTCTCAAATGTGTCTGAAACACTCATCACTTATTGTGCCGTCCTTTCTGATAAACTCCACCCGTCTGGCACCTTCAGAAAGTTAAAACAAACCATAAAAGTACTTTTTAAATCTGACATCAAGAAGCCAACAAACCCTCTAACGGCAGTTTCCCTCGACTCAGTTAAAAGTTTGAAGCATTTCCAGGAGAGATGGTGTAACTGCTACGCTTGTTTTAACCTACTTGTAATGCCAGATGGGTGGAGCTTACCACAGCAGGACGTTTGAAACCATCAGGTTTAACTGAAAGTGACATAAAAGTGACTTTCACTTTAATATTCTTTCGTCTAAACTTCACGGCAATTCTCATTTATCTTGTGAGGTAAACTCCACCCACCTGGGACATACAGTAAAATAAAACAAGCCCTGAATCATTTTGAGTCTCCTCCCACTCTCACATCTCAAACCTCTGCAGTCCCCCACAACTTGTTTTAAAGTTTTGAGGTTTTTCCAGAAGAGACGGTGCAACTTATGTGCTTGTCATAACCTCCTGGGAACACCAGACGGGCGGGTCTTACAATACCAGAGCATCAGAGTATCAGGTTAAACTTTTAGCTGCAGCAAAGTAAGAAAAAACTCACTATCGTACATTTCTCTCTGTCTTGATGCTCTTTTAGTCTTATGAGGCAAACGATAGATACGAAACATAGTGAAACAAAACATACAAACGACCACCGCTGCAGTTTCCCTCCACTTGTTTTAAAGTTTGAGGCTTTTTCAGGAGAGATGGTGTAACTCTCTTGTTTTAACCTGCTGGGTACCCCAGATGGGTGGGATCACCGTATCCGGGCATTCAGTGAAATCTTAGTGTTGGAAAAGTAGAATAAACCGACCGCAACCTTCCCACCCCTCTGGGACGTCGAAGAGAGTAAAACGAACCCTTAAAACAATTTCAGACTCTCTGTCCCTCTTTCACATCCCAAACCACCAGCTTCCCAAAACTTTTAAGTCTGAGGTTCTTTCAGTAGAGATGGTGCAACGTGTGCACTTGTTTTAATCTCCTGGGTACACCAGACGGGTGGGTCTTACAATATCAGAGCACCAGAAAGTATCCGGTAAAAATTTCAGTCACAGAAAAGTAAGATTAACCTGACATTCGTCTGTCTTCTCAGCATTTACTCTTATGAGGTAAACCCCACCCTTCTGGGACGTACAAGAGAATGAAACAAACCCTTTAACCATTTGCCCCCACTCCTGTGTCCTCCCCGTCTCACCTCCCAAACGACTACCTCCGCAGTTTCCCTCCACTTGTTTTAAAGTTTTGAGGCTTTTCCAGGAGCGGATGATGTAACTGTCTCGTTTGGTTTAACCTACTTGCAGCACCAGGCGGGTGGTGTTTATCACACCGGGGGCGTTTCAGACAGGATAAGGTTGTTGATCAAAGAAACAGCCGAGTAAGCTGACCTCCTGTGATTGCTAAAACTTTTTGCACTCTTACTCCGCTGTTTGTGCGGCAAACCCCACCTGTCTGGTGCGTCCAAAGGGATAAAACAAACGACACCGATATGTCATTCAAGCTGAGATGTTCTTATTTCTCACCTGCGATGGTTCCCAGAGACTCTGAGGAAACTTAATCAGCACTTAAACATTCAGTTTCCGCTCCGAGGGCGCGGGGCGTACTGTACGGAGTCCTGCAGGGGCCAAAAGGGGCCCGTTGTTTACCAGACGGCCCTGTATCTCAGCCCACAGAGGGAAGCTCGGGGCCTTTCATCTCCTCCAGACTGGGATGTTTTCAGAGCCGATAAAAAGCCCCAACATCTGCTCCCGCCTTTGTCCCCAACCCTCAACCCCCCTCCGTCTCCTCGATAAAACTTTCCGCCGCCTGCTCCTCGCCTTTGTGCTCTATTCATTTCATTGGAAAGTCCCCAACCAACGCCGCCGCCGCCCCTCAGACCCATCGCGCTGTTTGTTTACTGCTGTGACAAAAGAGGGAAATTAATAAGGAGATGACAATCGAGTCCTCGGAGCGGGAACATCCTCGACCCTCCGCTGCTGCTGCTGCTGTCGGGTCGACGGCTTTTCTTTCATCTGGAAACTCTGAGTGACTTTGGAAAGTTGCTGCTGTAACCAGCGGGGTTCCCGACCCGAACTCCTCTCACTACAACTCCCGAATGAACGATGTGTTTAAACTTTGTTGATTAAGACTTTTTAAAAACGTTCTGTCGTCTTCTGGATCGACTTTTAATCAGGACCCAAAAAGTCCGAACCAAATTTGAAGCGCTTAATATAAATGACACAGTTTACATAATAAAGTGCAAATTATTATCAAAACTAATAAATTATTAGTTTACTCTTTAATCACAGCTGCATTCATTATTAATAAAATATTAAATATGATTTGAAATATATATTTTCTACGGCTGCAGTTTTGGGCCCGAACCCCGCGGGTCGTGTCGGGTCCATTCGGTTTCGGGCAGAGAATCACAATGTTGATGTAATGTGAAATTACTTTTAATGTTCGAAAGTATCTTTTACTTCCTGAATGTTTTTATGTTTTTATTATTATCTAATCTTGACAATAAACTGATGCAGATAAAATAAATTAATTTAAAAATGCACCACTGTGGCTCCGATGCTCTTTGTCAAGTTCAAATATCGTCTCCTTGATTACTAATAATTAATATCTACGTCAGTCCTGAAGAGAAACTTATCTGTTCCTGCTTTGTACTTTTGGACCCACTGAAGTCATAAATACAAATAATAAAAATACCATTAAGAGCGTATATCTAAAGCACGCTCTCCTGATTTTCCTTTCCATTGGCTTGCAGTGCCGGTAACTTCCAGTGAGAGAACATTACTCCACTAATAGTGTTGAAATTTGTAACAGGAATGTTTAATAGAGTCTCTGAACAAACACTTTATGGATCAGATCACGTAGTAAACAAAAGCAAACTCAGAGCTCTGACTGGAACATCAAATCATCCTCCCAATAAAACGGCTCTCGGTACGGGAAAAGGTTGTAAACCTGCGGAGCCTCGTCTTGTTTCCTCGCTGCTCCTGAGTCCGTCCGCCTGTCTGACTCGTCCGGGCGGCAGTCTAGTCAACACGGAGACGCTGTTTATGTGGAGCCCCTTATTGATCTCTGTGATGGTGGAAAAACCAATCATTTTGCATTTATTAGTGGCGGACTAACAGGCTGCTGGTAGATCAGTCCTGTGTGACTGGAAGCTGTTCAATAATTAGCTGCAGTTGTGTTAAAGATTTGTCAGTTCTGAAACTCTAAAGTCGTGTTTAGGGCGGGCGGAGGTCAGAAGTCAGAGGTCAGAAGTAAAGCAGCCAGTGTTTTGTCTCCCTCTTTCCTAAAACAAATAAACAAAACAAATATTCATAAAAGATAAAGTTATCTTTCTTCTAAATAATCTTTTATCTTCTCTTCATCTTCACACTCCTCCAGGTGACAAAGTGCTAATTACAAGCTTTGCTACTAAAACTGCATTTTTTTTATTTTCTGCAGCGTGAAACAGGAAGTAGATTGATTAAAGGTGTCGACCTGAATCCTGAGGGAAGATTTAATTCAACGAACCAGAACCAAACTGTTCTGAAACGTTAGCTACTCTAAAGTAAACTGTTTAACTGTAAATATAAATAATTGGCTACCTTGAACCAGTTGTCTTAGCTCTCTCTAGCTAACCTGAAACTGTTTAAACTGTTAGCTGAACTGAACCATTAGCCCTAACCCTAAACCCTAAACCTTAAATCAAAGTGTTTTAACTTCTAAACTGATAATCTCTAAAAATCTGCTTGTGCTGCTGAACTGAATCATTTGCTAACAATAAATGAATTGAACTCTTAGCTAATCTCAACGAATCTGTTTCAGTTAATGAACTGAAATCTTAATTTACCAACAGACTGTTTTTGCTGCTAAACTCAAACTGAACTGAATTAATAGCCAACCTAAATAACTAAAAGTTGAACTTGAATCAAACATTTTATTGAGTTGTTTGCTAATCGTTTGGATTTATGTGGATTGATGAATGATGTAACGTCTGTTGTCTTTTAATGGTGGAAATATCTGATTAAAACAGTTTGTGTTCCTGTGAGATTATTTTCAGTCATTTTGTTGGGTGGCTGTTTCTAACTGTATCGCTCATGTTGCTGTTGTGTCGCTGTGTTTCCGAAGCAGCCACGCCCTGCATCAAAGCCATCAGCCCGAGCGAGGGCTGGACGACCGGCGGCGCCACCGTCATCCTCATCGGGGACAACTTCTTTGACGGCCTGCAGGTCGTCTTCGGCACCATGCTGGTGTGGAGCGAGGTGAGAGGACGTGAACCTTACTGCTGTGATCTTAAACCCTGGAATAGTTTGGAAGAGTTGAATTCATTTGAAATGTTAGAGAGAAATCTGTGTTGCAATGTTTGCCTTTAATTTATCAGATGAAACAGAAACAGCAATTTCCAGGAAAACAATTTCTGGCACAGCGTCTGTGCAGCTGCACGTACTGAGGCCTTCATCATGTTCTCCATCTTCTTCATCTGCACACACTCATCGACACACACATCCGTAGAAACACCTGCATCTGTATCTGCAGCTCCGCCAGGTCTGCATGGCCCCAAAAATATGTAGATTTAGTGCGCATGGAGGTGCGGGAGGAGCCGCGCATACGGTGCGCTATGAAATATTGAAGCAGGTCCAGAAGAGCAGAACACCTGGTGGGGAAGGAGGGAAGGAGGCGTGAGGCAGACAGATATATACCTCCACACGCTGTTCGCTTCACATCACACGCCGCTGACGGAGCTCCTCGCTTTGATCAGCGTCGTCTGGCGGCAAGCAGACGGACTCCAAAGCCCAGCATCCCTCTGAACACAGACTGCACACTGACCCAGATTGGAAGAAGACGGTTGGACTGTTTTCCACAGAAAGTTTGTTAACGGAGAGAAAAATCTGCAGGTTTTCAATTCGCTGGAAATAAAAATGTTCCAGGACGAGACGCCATAAATCTGCAGAGGAAGTGAAGGAGGTTGAAATAAATATTAAAAGGAGTTGAGGTTTTTTATTGAAGAGCTGAAAGCAACTGATGTGTGGAGGTGTAAGAAAACTTTCAAAAAAACTACAGCAATCAGTTGTTTTTAGATTATATATTATTATTATTGATCGCAGTGTACAGTGACAGAGCTTCAGTCTCTGATCAACAGCCTCGTCCTGCATCAGAAAGCAAACAGCTGATAATCAATAAACAGTGAATCTGTCAGAAAGAAGAATATTAAGTCTGATTGTTAAAATGATAAAAATACAGAGTACAGACAGAATTCTTTATTTTTTCTGGGTTTTTATTGTCTTTAATTGATAATGACAGCTTAAGATAAACTGGGAACTGAAACAGTGCTGGACATCAGCCGGCCTCCGTTGGTCCGCTCTGGTTCTGTGGCTCATTCGGGCCCCGCTCTGGTTCTGTGGCTCATTCGGGCTCATTCGGGCCCCGCTCTGGTTCTGTGGCTCATTCGGGCCCCGCTCTGGTTCTGCTCCTACGTTAGCAGTGTTGTAACTCCCCGTGTCCTTCCAGCTCCCACTCCGGGTACAGACAGCAAATAGGACCGCTAACTAGCTAACAGCAGCTAGTACAGTTAGCATATGCAGCGAATAGTTTTCTAATAAATACAGTATCAATGACTTCCAGTTCCCCCTCTGAGTACGAGTCCTGTACTCTCTGTTCTCCCCCTCTGACTCTGTTTGTTTTATCCTCCAGCTGATTACCCCTCACGCCATCCGGGTCCAGACGCCCCCTCGGCACATCCCCGGGGTCGTGGAGGTCACGCTGTCCTACAAATCCAAACAGTTCTGCAAAGGAGCGCCAGGACGCTTCGTCTACACCGGTAAGACCGCCCGAACCCTGACCGCCTCCGGTCTCAGACCGCAGATCCACTGGGAGGTTCATCACGGTCATACTGAGAGTTTGAGACAGAAACTTTAATGTTTTAGATGTTTTTGTCACAAACTGTTTGCTGGTAATTAAACATGAAGAATGTGTGCTACGTTGATCAGCTCGGTCACATTTACCTGTGTTACATTTATTGAGCTGAATATCACTGATCACTAAACTAAACCATCAATATCTGATTTGATTCTGTGCTTTGGTCCTGATGCTGTCGTTAAAGTTAAAGAGTCTGAGACCTGATTGATCACTACTCAAACTGTTCCACCTATTTAAGGACAAACATTTAAGTTTTTCCACCTTTTCCTTCCTAAAGAGAAAACTCTGATATATTATTTAGTGAATGTGTAACGGTTTATTGATCGCCACTTAAAGCCAAACCTGCCAACATTGAGAAATAGAGATGGTTTCCTTTTTTCAGTTTAGCACCACAAACTAAACTGCAATGGACGCAGAAATAAATGAATGTGTAACGTCGGACGAATTTACAACAAGGCTCAAATAATGAAGAATTTGTCGTTGGCAGTGTTTCACAAAGTTTATAAAGTTTCTCTTCGCTCAGTAACTCAAAATTACATGATTTTTAAAGGGAGTCTGGTGATATTCCTGCAGTTGTTCCTATTGTGTTGGCGGGTACAAGAGCACAAACGCACTGTGACCCCCCCGGAGGAAACCAGGGTTGAAAAACGTCTCCCGGGGTCTCTCCGGCTCTTAAACGCTGACTTTTTCCCTTCAGCAACATTTCAGTGTTTCTCAGTGGCATCAGAGGGAAATATCCTCCACGTCCTGTCCTTCATTTGAGACACATTTACCCAGAATGCAACTCTTTAGCATCAGTGTAAACTTTAAGATCCACTAGAATTTAAAGTTTATATGTTTGGACAGAAGCTCTGTGGGCTTAAAGGGAAGATTTAAGGATTTTTGACCGGAGTCCCGGTTGAACCGACGAGGATCAGGTTGGTTTTCTACACGCTGACAGTGAAGTAAACATCTTCCCCGGCGTGTCCTTCCTCCTCTTTCTCCTCCTCCTCCTCTTTATTCTCTTCCTCTTTCTCCTCCTCCTCCTCTCTCCAGCCCGTCCTTCAGACTCATTGTCTGCAGTCCGAAGACGTCCTTATCTGTCTCTCAGATCGGTGCTTTTACTGTCCCGATTATTCCGTCAGAATATCCAGATGTCATTCAAAGTAGCAGAAAGGTCAGATGGAAGCTGTTTAGCGCGATAAGTAAATGTCATTGCGTCGGGCCGTGAAAGCGTGTTCAGGCTTTCTGTTTAACACCAGTTTATCGCCGCTTCCTTCCGTCTTTGTCGGAGGCGCCGCCTCCTCCGATGGCAGTGCGACACCGAGGAGGGAACGAGACGCTCACAATGGACGGTCCGGCCGCCGCCTCCTTTTGCAATGCTAATCTGTGATTCCATTTAGAGATAGCGGCGACTGCGAGCGTTGCTTTCATGTTGTGAATAGAGCCTGTTGTTATCTCATTTGAGTGTCAGAAACACGCTGGAAGGACCGACCCGACACGTTTCAGTCCAAATCACTCAGGGTCGATATCGAGGATGATGATGTTTTATTTAACGAGTGGCTTCTGTCACCAGATGGTCAAAGAAATACAAAATAAAAGCATCAGTAAAAAGACGTTTACAGGAAGAAAAATGTTTCATTTCTGTCTGAACAGATGATTTTCTGAAACAAATAAGAAAGACGGGACGAAGAAAAGACAAAAAAGAGAAATACAGTTTGACCCCTGAATGCATTTGTCCTTCCAGGCTTCCATTACTGTCCACCTCAGCGAACGTCACAATTTCACCTAAATGCATCTTCTTCATACGAATGTTTTCACCAAATTGAATTTACTCCGTTTCCTTCCACTAAAGCCAATTATTCATTTATTTATACAATTTACAATTAATCGATTATCGAAGTGGTTGCCAATTAATTTCAGGGCTTATATTTTTATAATGATATTAAGTCAACTTAAAGAAAATTAGTTAATGGAACAAACTGGAATTAAATCACCAATAATTAAAATACTGCACACATTTAAATGTAGTTATTACTTCAACTGTTCATGTTTGAGTTTAAGTCATGGGAATGAGTGAGGATAGGTTATGTTAGTTTACTTCTTTTAATAAGATGTGTTGTTAGGATTTACAGTGTACAATATATTACAGTTATATAAAATATGTTAATCCTGGAGGAACCGACTAATATCTGCTTTTATATAGTCAATATGTTCAATAACATCCAGTTTAAAATCAGTGACACGTGGAACCTAACTGTGGAACCGCTGCGTTAAACAAACTTTCCTTGTTCAAATAAAACAATTTATGTATTAAAATATAAAATATTAACTGTAGCCAACAAAAATATCATTACAGCAGGAAGTTAATCCTGTTTATAGAAACTGAGCTGAATTCTGGTGAGTTTTTGTCACAATTTGCTTCCATATAAATGATCCCAACAATGTAGATGTGTCCATAAAGAATAAAAAGGAGCATTAACGCATGTTTTATAAAATGATGTAAAATATTCGGGATGTACCGACTGTGGATCCAGGATTCCTGGTTCAGCATCAGCCGACAGATTCCACAAACCCGACGAAGGAAACGTGAACATCTGACTTCAGTTTGATTGATAGGAAACAACAAAAGTGTGTGTCCCTGAAGGCATCGCGAGGCTGAACCCCGACAGGTGGCTGCATCGTAATGTCCCGCAGTTTCTTGTCATTCTCCCAAGTCTTCTTCCCGCTCCCACTGCCAGGGAGGCGGCCATATTGTGCGCACACATCGCCAGTTCATCTGATTTACACATCCATATTTTAAAAACGAGGATGCGTCCGTTTCCAGAGCGCGCTCGCCGTGCCAGCAGTGTGTTGTTGTTCATGAATGTGAAATGAGCCCAGCTTTTAAACAGTGAACAGGCGAGCTGTGGATAATTGAAGAGGAGAGAGCTGATGTCATTGAACGTCTCAGTGTTTCTGACTCCATGGAACAAACATGGCTGCCAGTCTGTCTGAGAGAGAAGCTTCTTTATTTCTTTCTGTGTCGGATTCGATTTTAACAACAGAATGGAGAGAATGTTAAAGTGAGTTTCTCTCTGAATGAACTTCTGTCTGTCGGTATCATCAGTGTCTGTGGTTCTTCAGTACTTTCACTGTGACTGTGGGAGGAACCTGCAGGAGGTGGTAGCAGAATCTGACTCCTCTATCTCCTCTCAGCTCCCTCAGTGGAGGTGCAGTTGGAGGTGAAGTGACAGGGAGTCATATCCGAGTGTTTTCCCAGAATTCACTGCTCTCTTCCTCTCAGTAGCTTAAAGCAGCTTCAGGATTTGATCCTCCGGCTTCGCTCTGAAAGACGAGAGGGCGTCAGCAGAATGACAAGAGAGGAGGAGGGAGGAAGGAAGAGGAGGGAGGAGAGAGGAGGAGGAGAGAGGAGGAGGAAGGAAGAGGAGGGAGGAGAGAGGAGGAGGGAGGAGGAGAGAGGAGGAGGAAGGAGAGAGGAGGGAGGAGGGAGGAGGAGAGAGGAGGAGGGAGGAGAGAGGAGAGAGGAGGAGGAAGGAAGAGGAGGGAGGAGAGAGGAGGAGGGAGGAGGAGGAGGAAGGAAGAGGAGGGAGGAGAGAGGAGGAGGAGAGAGGAGGAGGGAAGGAAGAGGAGAGAGGAGGAGGGAGGAGGAGGAGGAGGGAGGAGGGAGGAGAGGAGGGAGGAGGAGGGAGGAAGAGGAGGGAGGAGGAGGAGAGAGGAGGAGGAGGGAGGAAGAGGAGGGAGGAGGAGGAGGGAGGAAGAGGAGGGAGGAGGAGGAGAGAGGAGGAGGGAGGAAGAGGAGGGAGGTTGCTGGGATGTTACCTCCATATACAGACATAGAACATTTGCTCCTGTAGTGTCTGTCTGTCTGTCTGTCTGTCTGACTGTCTGTCTGTGAACATCCCAGAATGATCAGCAGTCTCTGTAATGAGTGAGATCAATATATTTTATCAGTTATCAATCAGTTCGATCGGTTATGATCTGTGAGCTCGACTGAAGAAGGATTCATACAGAGTTCAGTCTGTATGCTGAACCAACTTCCTGTTGTTTTACAGTGTTTGTAGTTGTTGTTTATCGACCCAGAGTGTTTGTTTGTTACCACGGCAACAGTTGGGGTTAGAAATAAACAATAATTGATGATAAATTAAGAGACAATCTGAGGGATCCAATAATCAAAGACCTGACTCCTGCTGGTTGTTGTAGTTTGTAGTTTTTTGTGATTTTATTTCAATCTTTTGTTTTTGGAGTTTATTTTAGTTTTGCAGTTTTTTTGGTTTCCTAATTTTTGCTGTTTTTGTAGATTTTTTTGCGAGCCGGGCGGCGCTGCTGGGTCCACACCGCCCAGTGGCCTCAGAGCTTGTAATGCACGGATCAATGCGGCCTGCGGGGGGAGGGCGGGTGAGGGGGGTGATGTTGTGGGATCGATGGGTGCTGAGTTATTGCGGCGCTCGGCCACTGATTTTTAGAGAGCTGTGTTTTCCCAGGAAAGTCAATACCTCCAGGCTCCTCTCATTAATTTCAACCCCCAACGCCTCCCCCCCTCCTCCAGCTGCACCGGGGGATCTGCAGCCCCGGGGAGGGAGAACGGGGGGGAGGAGGAGGGGGAGAGAGAAGAGAGAAACTGAGATGATGGAAGTCTGGGAGAAAGATGGAGGGGGAGGAGGGGAGAGAAAAGAGGAAGAAGATGAAGTCAGGCGAAAGGAAGAGGAGGGGGTGTGGATGAAGAGGAGGAGGAGAGGAGGAGGGGAGGAGGAAGGACAATGTGGATCCTGGTTCAGAGAACAGACACAGGGAGAAATATTGATCCCTAATATGGAGATCATGTTTGCAGCAGATTATCGATGGCGACTGTTTCTGGAGCTGCTGGCTAACGCCGCCTCCTCCTGCTGGAGGAGCACTGATGTGTGTGGGAGGCCGGAGGGG